GTCGTAAAAGGGGTGAACCTGATCCTAAATGCCATTGTCACACCGGCTCTTGCATAACGCAATGTGGTATGTAAACACAATACAACGGCCAAACGTCATTACACAAGATGGCTTCAGAGGTTACAGGTCGAATGTTTGCAGACAATTCAGCAGATTATCTAATATTTGCACAACAACAAAAAAGTGTTAACACCGGCGTTTTTAAGACGTGTGAGAACGTAGTTATTATTTAAAGGCTGAACATACATCTTGTTGTAGTATAAAATAATCTTAATACAAACAAAAATTGAAAATTAAATAAAAACCACCACCACATCATTTTTCAGTTTCCCAAAAAAGAAAAGCAAAAATTTCCTTTTTATGGGAGTATCAGTGTACATTTCCTATATCTGACTACAATTTTGTATGGTTTCAATGAGGAAATATTCTCTCATTTTAAAATAAACACAAAAAGTGGGGTCGAAATTAGTGGTAGTCCCAGACAACCACTTGTGGTCATAGCGCAACAAAATATAAAAAATCGCAGCCATGAAAATAAATATACAAATAAAGATTTCATACATTATTTTGTAGTAACTATTTTTTTGTTTTTGGAGCAGTTGTTTGAAAAGAAAAAACCTACAATGAATTTGTTTGACATTGTAGTTGCTAAAATGTATTCAGTTTTATTTTGTAAGATGACAACAAAATGAAAGAAAAAACTTCTTGAAAATGTTCAGAGTGGTTATGGTATGTTATATTCGATCCCTGCCAAAAACTAGTCATGTCTCACCTTTAGAATAGTCTGGGAAGTGAAGAACAAATGGTTCATGAAAACCAGTTCCTGTACGAAACTTTTCCAAGACAATCTCGCTGATTAATATTACACATATATTACAGTTTGAAAGTTCCTGTAATCTTAATAACGCAGGGAGTATATTTGCATCCATGTCACGTAATCTTTCAGCTTTATCCAAAACCTACAATGAAAAATAATAAATTTTGATAAATTTTATGACTCGCAAGAAATCGCAAAATTCTGTAACTGTGAAAATGTCACTGGAGATTTTCAGGTGCTAGAGAGTCACAGAAATTATGAAAGTTAACCTCCTTTTCATGAAATAAATTATCACCACAAAAATTTCCAGCAATTACAATAATATTAATGTATGTACTATATTTGCTCTATTAGTAGCACATGTGCTTTAATTACAGAGATTTTCCTGTGGTAAAAACAGTAATATTATACAGCCAATGCAATTCTGGGGTTTATACGTGCTTCTAATGGAAATGGATATGATATGAAGAATTAAAACAATGAATGCCACTTGTAGAATTAAGCATCTCTACGGAACAACACTGCACAGGACTAAACCAGGTCCAAATTACAGACCAGTACTATGTTTGAATGACATAATTATTAATTTCTATTGTAAAACAGTATTAGAATTACAAATAAATGTATATAGTTTTCTTGGGGATTGCAAATTTATTTCATTTTCGCAAGAATTTGAAATGACAAAATGTAAACGAGAAAAATCAATGTTTCAAAGTTGAATAAATGTAAGGAAATTGCAATCAGTTTATCAGTGTTTTGAACTAGTATTATGTGACATATGACGATACATATAAACATTTTTTTTTTATGATAATGTTTCTGTGTTTGGCAAAATGTGTTACTTAACCTTCTCACCACCAGTTCCCTCTTTTCATCACAAATTCACAAAATAGTCCCGTTTATAGTCTACACTTCAGTAATTGAGACAAAATAGCTAAATTTTTTTAATAAAAACTGAAAATTGACTCAAATTTTGTCTGTTGGCTGCAAAATTAGGGTTTATTTCCAGAAATATTGAAGAATATAAGAAAAATAGTGTGGGAAACAAAGTCCAGACAGCAATAAATGCATTTTTGCATATACTATGCAAAAATATGTCATATAGGTGTATCACGTACGATACTATCTCTCAACTTACTATGAACAATGTGCGACTTCCCAGTTCTTTTTCTTCTATAAGATTTTTAAGTAGTCTCACAAAATCATTCATATTATCACAGCGAGCATAACAGCTGTAGTTATTGTCAGGTGACGGAATGACATCACCAACTTGATTCAAGATATGTTCGTATAACAATCGTTGGGTGTAACATTCAACGCAATTGACGATCGCATGAGGAAGCTGTTTGAGAGATGTAAACAAAAAAGCAATTTTGTAAGATGTCACATGCAGATTACAAAACTATAACAGACAGATCTGTCCATGCCTTTAGGTTGACACTGGTGTGAAGTACTGTTACCTACAGGACCAGTAAATCTAGAAAGCTAGAAGTCCACTAAAAATGTGGTGTTCTGATATGAATTACGTGAGCAAGGATTACAAGCAGTGTGATTACTGCATACCAAGTGTTTCCCCTATTTGGCATGAGAAATGGTGCTCAGAAATCACTCTGAATCAGGTGTATCAATGTAAAATGCATGAAATCGAAATAAATAATTTTCAAATTGTCTATTTTGACTATTTTGTGAAAATTTGCCAGACTAAGAAAGTTGAACATGTGCTTATATTTTTTGTGTAGTTTCCCAAAAATGTCAAATCATACAATCAATTTTCAGGTCTTTACTGAACTGAAAAAGTATTCTTTCTGCTCAGAGTAAGGAAAGAACTTACCAGTAGGATAATAAATAGTGCTGTCGAAAGTGGATACAATTTCACGTTTTGATTAACTTTTCAATATTCAAAACATATTGTCTGTTTAAAAGAATCACGGACTGGAATACTTAAGTTAACAAAATATCAAAACTCAATGCCTATACCTGTAATGTCTGTAATATTGTAGTAATAACAGCTGATTTACCAGAGGCAGTGTGACCATAGATAAATATACTTGAATATGCTGCATGGGATGGCTGGATGAAAAAAACAAAACAAAAAAGACAATAAAAAAACAATTTGAAACCATGAATAAAATTTTGTAGACATATATTTTCAGATCACTGAACTGATGTTTTGGCACTTTTTCCCCATTATCTGTTTTCATGTCCTTGCCCGGTGTCAGAACACAGACTGGCTTTCTCATTAAGTAGTTTGATCGTCACTATAAACATTTCATTCACAGTGTTAAAAAAAAAAAAAAAAATTTGTCTCCTTTTAAATTAGCTCTAACTTTCTATTCAAAACATAGCACAGAAATCATGATCATTAAGTGAATTTAAAAAAAAAATGTTGTGACATCTTTTGATGCATGTGTCAACTTACTGTAATTGGGTTAATTATTCACTGGGTTTTAATTTTGTTTATTTCGCTGACTGGAAAATGGGCTAAATTAAAACCCAGTGAATATGTAAAATTTAGCATGAAACACATTATCTAAATGATAAAACTGTGAATTTAAAACCCACTGAATATGCCTGAAATGGTAAATCAGCGAAATTTAAACCCAGTGAAAATTAGTCATTTTACAGTACATCTCTGGTGATACCTATCAGAGTTTGCAAAACTTTGTACTGGTGACGATTTCAATAAAATGTAAACTTCATACTTTTTTACTCCTGAGATAAACAAACTACAGGTATGTGGCAAAAATTGCTTTAAGGCAATGCTTATAGAATGGAACTTTCCCTTGGTCAACACTGATAGAATTAAAAAAGCCCTGACTATGGCTTCTGATAGCTTGAATGAATTCAATGCTATGTTGTTCGAAAGATTGAAAGTTCATCGCTAATACATTTGTATATATGGATGCAATGTGTCACCTAATGCATGAATTCAAGATCTATCGAACAATGTGTGCATGAAATTTTTGCTATTAAAGCTGGCTGGTGTTAGTTCATATTATGGCCAATGTTCTGTCTGTCAGTATCTACTTATATAAAAAAAAAAAAATTAAACACTTTATTGAATCAATAAAAAGTATTTAATTTATATAACTCATGCAGATGAAATAAACAAATTTTCCATTTGTATTCTATTAATTGGCACTCTTGAAAAAACAAATATTTTTACTATCAAGTTGGTTTTCACAGTATTTGTTTTTGCAGCAGCAAAGGATCGCCCAGTTGCTGAAACATCGCCTTTGGACAATCTTTTGCAGTGAAGATGTTTCAGATAAATACGGTAATTTTGAAATTCATTTTGAATTGATAATTTGATAGATTATTATAACAGCTTCGTTATTGCTGATCAGAGAAAAATGAGTCACAGTGACTTACGAAATGCCAGCCTTTAAAGTCTTCAAATCACAGAATTTAATAGCGTTTCCCACCAAAATTTTGATGCAACCTTTTACTTTTATTTTATGCATGTTTCTATAATTTTGGGATAATACACAAAATGGACATACTTTAAAATACTTTATTTTCGCTTGCAATTAATTTTCGCTATTTTCGCAATATTTTGTCTATAAAATTTTCAACAAATAAAAATGAAGATTCAGTCAAGACTAAACTCCAGTTGGAATAAAAAAAATATCTTGTTGGGGATAAGTATACTTTACACAACAGATAGCAAAAACAATTGCATTGGTGAACATACATCAGATCTCAGCTGTGGAGTGAGTGATTCAGTGAAAATAAAATCCAGTGAATATACCTTTGTTCCTATGTTTTACATTCAACTCACCAAAAATCAGTGAAAATAAATTTCATACAAAATACCCAAAAAGTCTTTTCAGCAAAAATTAATTCCAGTGAGAATAAATTATTTCACATTAATAATCTATGTGTTATGGGTCCTGAACAAAATTGTGGGTTTGATTTTGTGAAAAAGTGACAAAAGTTGACTTCCATAAACTGAGAGACTTACCTTTCCAAACAGTGCTAGCAGTGTTGAGATTTGTGATTCCCTGCATGGTAATGTGTTGTGTATTTCGTCTATTCTTTCTTTACTGTAACCATAACAACTGGAATCTTTACCAATTTTGCCACTCGCCATTATACACAATCTAAAAAAAATCATTATATTACCACTCTAGTTACCATGGTAACAACTGTATCACAATATGTCATAATATATCATATCACTGACAATATTACACAATAAAATCGAACCAAAAATTTATGAAATTTATGAAAACACTTGTCAGGTCACTGTATCGTATGCGGGTCAGCTCGAATGGAATTTGTCCAAAATATGGAATGCATTTTAGTATACTGGCCGTAAAGACGCATAAAAAATTGCTGCTACTTCCAAATCATTGATGCCAAAGGTAGCATTTCCATCTACGCAATATTTAACGTGAAACTGAATCATAATGACAACTATAATGTGCTATTTTTGTCTTCCAATCAGTTATGGAAACAGGTTATGTGACTAGTTTGGCCAGAACGTCACATGTTTTGTCAACAGGAAAAGTTACAGTCCTACATCAAAATGAATACAGTGCCAAAGAAGTCTAATCATAATAGTTTTTCATATAACTTTTATCTTACTGAAATTTATATATTTATATTTATTATTGTGCCCACTTCATGGAGAATGGAATGGTAAAGGTCAAAGCAATGTTGCATTATGAATGGTGTCTAGTGTTTTGTGCAGAAAACTATTGACTTTCTGCTATGTGCATTTATTACTTTTATCAATTACATGTTTCTGGCAAACTGAACAATTTCATGCTTTCACTCAAATGTGTAATCTGTGTAGTGTTTCTGTAGTTCAAGAAGTCAAGTTCACCAGTGATTTACTCGGGTGGTTTGTGCATATTTAGCGTAATACGAAGCACAGCTTAGTCTATTGATAAGCAATACCGTACTGCTCGATGCATAACAATATTGTTAGCAAAACAGGATTGTAAATTGCAACATTGCCCAGAGGATTTTCCTTGCGATAATAATAAACACAGCCTTGATGCAGCAGGCACATTGTGACAAAATTTCATTGTTGCTCTTAAGGTAGAAGCCTACTCATGAATGCAAATACCCAGAATTTATTAATTAATGGGGGTCACCAGCTTAAAGCGAGAGGGTCCCCACCCGCGCAAGTGTGGGAATTGAGTTCTAAGCGATGATAGCAACACACACTAAGAACGCAAGGCTCATGGGTAGACGATTGTTTGTAAACAATGACACTCTATGGCCATCTGACGCATGCATAGGTGACGACTCCCCCGCTTTAATTCTCAAGAAAATAAAGGTTGTATTTTAGTTGATAGTGGCCATTCTGGCAGTATTTAAAAACTTTCACAATAGGTTCCAGTGGCAAAAATATTATGCCATATCTCAAATTGTAGTCTGGTGACATATAGGCTGAAAAAATTATATATTGTAACCTATGGTTTACTATTTGCTGTCCTCAATTATTTCAAAATTCTCAGTTTTATAAAAGTTTTTTAAAGTGTCAACAAATTTTTATTCCACATGCTCTATAAAATTGTTCTAAAAAACAGCAATTTTTGAAAAATATTAGGACAAGTTCCCTAAAATACACAAAAGAATGCTATTTTATGCCATAGGGCAATAGCTTCACGATTTTATATAAAAAAAAAAAAACAGTGAACATTGTCATGCGATTTATTACCAACATGGAGGTAAAAAGATCTCTTTTTACCTCCATGTTACCAACTTTCTCAAAAAGTTTCTACCTTAAATACGACATCATATCGCATATTTGTTTTCAAGCACGTCCGGTGGCTCCAGAAACACGCCATAATATACCCACTCACCTTTCTGGCCACGCTTTTTTGGTACACAAATCCGTCTTCAAAGTTGGCGACACTAATTTGTAACTTTCGGGTCACAAACGTTGAGGGCGTACATGCGAAAATAAGTCGCAAACGACCCATCGCAAATGCCGCTGTAAATGGAATGAAATGAAAAAAAATCGTGGCTGCAGACACTCTTCATGTAATATATGTCGAGTGAATTGTAGGTAATTTTGGCAGTACTTATTTTGACAATTGTGGAATATGTAAGCGGAGTAAGGGCGTTAACAATTACTTGTAAGTGCGATATTCCATTATGGCACAGGTGATCCGAGAGTGGATGTTAAACGTCGCAAAATGAAGGACATTATTATGCAATAAAAATACAGAACCCATAGTTGAATGCAACAATTTTATCCATGATCTTATAAAAATATGTATGTTACCAGGCTAATTATTTATTTTCTCGGGATTGATATAAATACATCACCCCTGCCACACCTGTTAAAATGAATTCGTCCATCATTCCCCACCCAAAGTCACAATCGATCATCTGGTTTGTTCGATGGTATATTGCTGCTTATGTTGGATATGGTTGAGACGTGAAAATAGTCGCAGAATTTCAATTTTTAACTCAACACGGGCGACAGAATGACGACGAACGACACGGCCTTGATCTACCACACGAATTATATCCGTAATAGTCGTGCAGTGGGTGTTTTGTGGGGGATATTTACCATTTGCTACGCAATCATCGCTGTTGTTGTGGTGATTCAGCCATTTTGGATCGGCGATTCGACAGAGACTCCGGCTGTTGGGCATTTCGGTTTATACAGTTACTGCGTCGGTTATGGGATATCTGGCGATGTTAAGTGTGTCGAAGACTTTGACTTCGGAAATATACCATCAGGGTACTGGCAGGCTGCCACTATTTTCGCCGGCGTGTCCACTCTCTTGATACTGACTTCTATTATCTGTATGCTGTTATTTCTTTTCGTGAACACAGCCAGAGTTTTTAAAATATGTGCGTGGCAGCAAGTAATTTCAGGTAAAGTACTGAATACTGATCACAGGCCGTTTTAATTAAATTCCTTTCGTTTGAGTAAAGTGGATAAATATTTATTTGTTCAATCAATTCGAATCATGTCATTCTTTCCTTTATTAGATTACCAGTACGTTTCCTTTTTCGTATGTTATTTTCATGTATTGTTAAGCATATTGTTGTAATTTGAGGACGCAACAACTAGATACTGTCCAATTATTTGCAGTTTTAGGCAATACAACTCTGGTTTAGAAATTGTAAAAAAAGAACATTATTATCTAATGATCAACTTTGCAAAGACTTTATTTACTTTGGTGATGCAACCGCATTCCTGAATTTTATTTCAGAATTATGTCCTCAGACGTTGCCAAGGTTTCAAATATTTGATGGTGATTTAACGTGTCATGCCAGTGCTATACGTATATACATGTACATGTAGTTGACTCCTCCCTCAATAAAATTAAAAAAAATTATCTTAGTTCCACATACATGTAGTAACAGTCCAAATACAATAAAAATAGGTATTTGTTCAATAATTTAAATAGTTATCAAAACCGGAATTATTTTACAAAGAACCCCTAATAGCAGGAAACCAGACATTTGTTGTACCTTCAATTGGTTGTACATATTTAAGTAAATATGAAATCAACTTAATTAATAATACAGTTGTATCATAACATTTAGGACTATCCATTGAACGAGATTTAAACAAGTTCTGATCGGGATATACACTTATCCAAATTTAGATATATATACCAATCAAAATGTTGTTTTGTATACCAATGAGGATATTTTGCTTAAGATCGATTTTCCACACTTTACTATAGCTTGGTGAATATTGAAACAAGTACATATACTTTCCTCTTCAAAAAATCTACATAATAGCTGAGATCTGATGTATGTTCACCAATGCAATTGTTTTTGCTATCTGTTGTGTAAGGGATACTTTGTCACAGGTTCGGGGAGTTATTATTGTTCATACACGAAAGTCACGTTCGAGCACTCGCACAAAATAAGCACATCGTGGTACATTATACATATTTATATACATAAAGCAAGGAAACAAAATTAAAATACATAATGGTTATATTTCTGAATTATGGATTCAATATGCATATTGTTCATTTAAATACAATTGTACTCTCACACTCTACAGCAGTCTGGCTTTAGAAATAATTGCCCAAAGAACTTCACATTAATTAGCAGTACTAAGTTCTTCCCACATTGCAAACCAAATTAATCTGTACGAATTCAATAATTACCCGGCCGGCCACGCTACCGTAACCAACAACTAATCATGCGTTATTTTACAAATACATAAATACAAATTACAATAAAATTACACAGAAACGCTATACACCACCACATACGGCTCAACACTGGACGGTCAGTGTGTGTGGTCCCACACTGTTAGCGACAACTAGTGCGACGTAAACAGCTGTCTCTCTTTCTCTCCAACGTTTCCTGTATTGACCTTGCTAATATCAACTGCAAATATCCGCTCGTCACGTGCGTACATTCGCCATACAGTAGTTGAACTAGAGAAACGTAGACCTGACAGTAAATCCTGCAGAAACTTGACACTACGAAGTTACGACCACTCAGCGCGCCGACCACCACACCTCAACTAGGTTGTCTGAAGGCGATAATGAAAAATAACATTCACAGCAAAAATGCCTGCATAAGCGTAGTACACGAAATGACCTACAATAATCAAATTCCCTGACTGCAAAGCTTCAGTCAACAAATCGGTTAATACCTACAGTTGAACACCACCCTTTAAAAGTCATCAAATTTACATTACTCACTTGTCAGTTACAACACAATGCGTTTCACACGACTTGCACAGGCTTCAGTTCATAACTTGATAACTGCCTGCATCGCATGGTTATGATGGCAAACCACTACCTTCCACACATGGTATTTGGTGTGCTCACTCGTCGCTGGTCCCCTGGCAAGTGACTAGCCAAAAGGTAGTCTTTCCTGCCTCGATGTACGAGCCCAGGTGGCCATTTGCTCAGCCAATCAAATTACATTACTACTCCACCAGGTGCTATTTAACTTAGCACAAGAACGACTGCCACCAAAATGTGACATACTTATCCCTAACAAGATATTTTTTTTTTATTCCAAATTGGGTTTAGTCTTGACTGAGTCTTCATTTTTATGTAATGAATATTGCAAAATACAGAGATACAAGTATTATCCAGATGAGATGCACTTGTTTCCCAATTGAAATATATCATTTAAATGCATTCGAAGGGCTTAGCAACTGCGTCATTTGGCAATTTATTTTAATTTTTGTTAATCTACAAATTGTATGTACCAGTATTACTGACCCTTTGTGGTAGTGTGTTAGGTACAAGCTATATGCATATGTAAGCACCACCTAGACAGCTAGAAAATTATCTAAATTTGTTCAAACATCAATCTGAATAAACATTGTCTGCATGCTACCTTCATGTGCCATATGAGCCTTAAAATTATTTATTTAAATACAAATAAGCTATGAACATTCCATTTATGTTGTATTTTTTCATTCCATATACTTCCTTCTATATACTACATGTCTATTATATAGTGAATGACTAGCACTTATTAAGGAAATATATATTCTGAAGCTATCAGAAACTTTTATGTCATTTTTCACATCCATAGTTAAACTAAGATTATGTTCTAGCCAAAACCTAAGAATATAAGTCATTGACAAAAATTTTAAAAAATAAAATCCGTTGCCTATATCATTACTGAAAACAATAAATTTAGCTTTATTTGGCCTAGTGTATGAAAGAACATGACAATTTGCTTACCCCATTCTTTGCTGAAACTAAAATGCCTATATCTCTCATCTGTTACAAGGAAATTCTGACTCACAAGTTTTCAAACTAATGTTCTAATCATTGGAACAACCTCGTTATTTCATAAATCAGATGTTTTTATCAAAGACATCACTTGAACTCACTATTCTCCTGATAACATTGTCATGACAACCACTACTAAAATTTAATTTTAACTTCTTATCATTAACAATCTTGCTTTTGAATTGGAGTTCAATACTGACTTGCTTTGTTTTGGGGGGGCTTTTTTGGGGGCTTTTTAGTAGTAAAAAACCCAAAATAAAAATGTATATACATGTGGAAAGACCGTGGTTTTTGAATATGTTGGGATCACCTACATGTACATTTCCATTTTTCCTTTTTTAACTGGATAAACACCAGAACTATTGACTATATTTAGTCTTAAAGCTAACATTACAATCAATGAAAAATATGTTGTATCAATTAAATTAGTTCACCTGGTCAAGCCAAACGCAAATATATTTAAGTTTAGATTAATAGAGATTCCTACTTCTGCAACCACTATATTTAGCCATTTTTACTATCATGCACATATATTATACTATAGAGTATTTTAATTTGACTTTATACTGTTGTTGTTGTTGTTGTTGTTGTTGTTGAGTATCCATTATTTCCCCAGCTGAGTTACAAAGGTAACATTTTATAGCCTGTAATTTATATTCATTGACTGGTCGGAAACCGGGTTCTTTAATAGCAACCTAGTTTTGGAAAACTGCCCTTTAAAATTAATAAATAGTATATATTTCTATTTTGATTCCATAGCACTTCTTTTATTGGTCTGTATACTGCTATATCCAGCTGGCTGGGACGATAGCAACACTGAAGTACATCGTCTGTGTTCAAGTGATGTCTACGATATTGGGAAGTGTCAAATCAGATGGGCTTACATACTGGCAATTATCGGTGTATTTGATGCCGCTATACTCGGCACACTGGCGTTCATCCTTGCAAGTCGACAGGACAAATTATTACCTGAACACCTATATCACCCAGAAATGCATGGGCACAAAGGTATGGTAATCAATCATTCATAAAGTTCACAATGTGGGCAGCATTTATCTGATTTATTATTCAGATGTCCTTTTCATTATGGTTTTCTTGTGTAGTATTTTTTTTGTTTTCAGTCAGAATCAGGCCCTGGCTGGTTACTAAAGTTAACAATTTAGTAAGTGAAATTAATTTTACCCAGTAATAATGCTAGAGCATTAAAAAAAAACAGTCCACCTGAAATTGTATGCATACTGACCCCTGGTAATTCTTTCCTACAAACTTGAGGGCTTTGGCAACCACAACATTGTCCTCAGCAAATTGCTCACTCACTGTGGCTAATTTGCAGTTGCAAATATAAAATGAAAAATCCCATGCCAAGCATAGTTGCTACTATGCCTTTAAAAGGCTTTGCCAAAAAACTGAATTGTTATATAAACTTTTTTTTTAATTGTTAACTTTATTAACTGGCCAGTGTTCTGGAGTGTCTTCACTTTTCTTGGTAATCTTTTTCTCTCTTCTTTTACTTGTATATTGTCCTATATGCATTTCCATATGTTGCCATGTTTTGTATACCGTTATATACATTATTAAAATTCTAGTAACTGCCCTTATGTACATGTAATACCCCTGCTATTGGGCAAGCTATGCATTCTAAGTGTGCATGTGACAACACACTGTTCTTCATTGGGGATGTTAGATTTATAGTGTATGTTTTCTTGAATAAAATTCTGTATAATTTTTCCGAGATAATCACTTTGAGGGAATGTATAAAAATTTGTCTTGTTTATACCTGGTACTATTTATTGTGAGTGTATAAATTGTATGTTTCCAGCTTTCTTGCATGTTTAGATTTTTGTTACCTGGGCTGATATACTATTGTGTTTCATCTTGGTGTAGTGCTGTCCAGCACTAATATATCTGCATATATCTGTGTCATCTGTAAAGGTATAGTGTATGTTCTACATGTATAGGAACTTGCATGATATGATTTGGTGATTTGACATTAATAATAACCCTTTCACTACTGCAGCTTTAATCCATATTGTAAATTTAATCTAAATCTAACTTCAATTTGGGACAAACATATAGAAGTTTACATTGTTTTCACGTTTCATATTAAAAGTTAGTAGTGAACTGGTTATTAATTAATAAAACTTTCAATCCAAATAGCATGCCATGGTTTCAAAGCTTGACTTCAAATGTCTTGCACTTGGTATACATGTGTCCTATCAGTACAGACATGGCAACTGAAATGTGGCTGCTGTGTAATCACATGTAAACATCATGTAAACATGTGATCTCCAGCAATCATAGCAGAGTTGTCAAGACCCTATAATCATACCAGTTAAAATTTTTCCACCAAAAGAGAAACTGATCAACTATAAACCTAAGACGCTATAAACACATATAAAATATTAATTTGTTGTCTGGTAAGTAATTAAATCCTAACATTGGCAGTTTGTTTAATTAATTAATATATCCATTCTATTTCTCCTCTGTCTTAAATGTATGAAAGCACAAAGCTTGGCAATAGATGTTTAAATCGTTATATAGCATGGCTATTAACTGTTACTGGATTCTTACACAGTCTTATTTAAATGCTGATGTGTACTTATATAGCCACACCCATTCAGCTGAAGGTCGTAATATCACAGTCACCTCAGCACATGTTTAGAATCACTTCAATTGGCTTTTGAATTTTGTAATGAATGATGTTGATTTGTTACATTTAATTAGAAACTGTACTATCAATGTGTGAACTTGACATACAGGTTACAACTATTCTCTTATCTGGTCTTTATCCAAACAATCTTTATCAAGACTCTGTATCTGTATATGCATGGCCCCACCCATAATGTTTTTTCCTGGTAATAGGAATTTGCCCCCCCTAAAGTGCCAGGATGTATGACCTTAATGCTGATGGGTCATGCATTCTTATATAGATAGAATACCATTATGATTACTAAATAATTTTAACTACCTCAAACACCAATTCTTATATGTTTTTTTTAACTCTCCTTGCTGAATCCACTATATTTTTTGTTTTTCTGTCCTGCTATCTTTTGTGTGAGTGAAAGTATATTTTTTTTAATTCTTGGTAAGACATTCAAGTTATATATTCACTTACAAAGTTTATATCCTCTTTATTGTGTCGTTTTGGTCTATATTCTGGGTCCATGCAATTCATTATTCATCTTCATTTCTCGTGCTAAAATGTATGATGTCATGCCAGGATTTCATATCATAATCAATAATCATATTATTTGGAATTATTTGAACAGTCAGTTATCAAGAACATTTTCGAAACACTTTGGTTTTTAGCCAATCTATAGACTTGACAGAGCCGTTCCATTGACATATGCACATAGTTTACATCATTTCATTCCATTGTCTTAATTTACAAGGTTACAAGTTTCTTAGAATACACAAACGAATTATTTTGATTACATAAAATATGAAATGAAGATTAGATCTGTAAATTATTCTGTTGACCACCCATATGAAATACTGAATCACACTCAGCACGCCCAAGTCAATCATTCAGTCAAATGACCCCATCAAGTCTAGAACAAAGTACATACCAAGTATTTTGTGTAGTTGCATACCATCTTGCTAACTGACTGAATAAGTCTCTGAACTGCTGTAATACAGTGATTAGGCAAGCATTAGGTGTACACAAATTTGTCAGTTTGCGGATCTGGCCTAGAGTCAACTTTGTTGAGAATAATAATCTCCAAAAGGAGCCTTTCGGCGCCACATCTCATAAAACACTCACTAGTGAAGGACTGCCATAAATATGATTGTCTTGTGAAAATAGGTTACGAAATTGCCTATTAAACTAATTGACCTATAAGTGGCATTTTTCAAATAATTCAGTGAGATGATAAAGTTCCACTCTGAGGACACCTGTCCTCCATGGTAGAATGTAGTGACAATGCCTTCAATGGAAGCTTTTTTCTATTGACAAATCTCTC